AGCGAGTACAAGAATGGAGAGTGATTTCTCATCAGCATGAGGCTATCGATGTTTCCAAATGTATCGTCGTACTCGAAGATGAGCAACGGATGCAGAAGGATGGAGATTGGTTCCTTGTCAGAATTGTGCTTTCGTTGGACATGGTCTTGGGTGTTATGACCCTAATTATTCGCGCTCATTCTCACTAGAAGGACGCATGACGGTCCGTTATCAAAGCGGGGATCGTGTTTGAACGACAGGCCCATGGGGCGCTCGTCTTGCAAGAGGGTGCTTCCCGCTGTGAAGTTGAGTGTTTTCAGGCACGTATGAGCGTGTCTTCAAACCCTCGGGGCCATGACGCGCGTCATGCCCCCCACATGACGTAACGCCCCCCCCCCCACGTAGTGCGCCTCCAGCACTGCCATTGTGATGCTTGCAGGCTACTGTGGTGCTTGCAGGCTACTTTAGCGTTCGTCACAGTGTCCGAGGGCCTCGCAGGGCCTGCAGACGCTTCCAGAGGCCTCCGGAGATCTCCTGAGGCTTCGGGAAACCTTTGTACACCTTCAGAGGCGGCCGTCGTCCTCGTCGTCGTCGTCGGCGGCATCGGAGTCGTTGTCTCCGTAGCCATTTTGGCTCAAGATGTTTTCGCCCCGTGGCAGAGCACGGAGACCCTTGGTCCATGGCGTCGACAGCAGCAGCCAAAGAGAGGAAGGAAGACCTACTGTCAGCAGTGTGGGAAGTGGCTTTTCGTCGACAGGCTTGCGGGGGAGAATTCCACGTGCAAGTGCGGAGCCAGCAGGTGGGGGGCGGAGTCACCTCACGGGGCAGATCAACCAGAGCGAGATCACGACGGTGTCTGGGACGAATGGGGCTGGCCAAGCCTCAGCGCTGGTGCTCGCAGCAGAGGCAAGCGGAAGGGCACCCCACAAGGAGGTGAAGACACTTGGCCAGGAGGCTACGGCGGTCAAGGAGGAAAAACAAACTTCAGCATCTAGTCGAGCTGGCGGCACCGGCGGCAGTGGGCGACCAGAAGGAGAAGCTCGAGAAGTTGCTTGCCGAATCGAAGCCAGTTCAGTTAGCTGCAGCCCCGCAACCACAGCCTTGTTCGCGAGCGGTTCTACGGCAAGCAGAAGATCAAGTTCATAAGTGCCAAGCAGCGCAGCAGAAGGCGTGCCGCAGGAGAGAGCGCCTCAAGGAAGAGCTCCAAGCAACGAAGGCGGCTTTCCACCAGCGCACCGCGGCGGTGGTCGAGGCGGAGGCAAGGGTCAAGGACGAGCTTCGGAGGCACCCGGTCGGCGAGGGGGAAACGACAGCTCTTCTAAACCAGTGAAGCCATTCCTGCCCATCGGCGCGCTATTGGAGGACGACCAGGAGATCGACGTGGACCTTTTGGTGGCATCTTCGAGGTGGGCGACGAGGACATCAGCAGGGAAGATCGAGCATAGATCGACAAACGCAAGAAGGATTTCGTCGCAGCGGCGAAGCAGGCGGCCAATCAGGCCTTCGCAGCAGCGGCAGAACAGCTCTAGGTGCAGCGGCATGAGGAGAAGGAACTCATGGAACGGATCCAGAAGAAGCGGAAGGTGGTCAAGGACGGCGAGCAGAGCGCACCAGTGGAAGTTCCCGTATTTGCGCCAGCAGCAGCAGCATACGATCCTGCAGAGGGCTCCGCAGGACGGGCAGACGGCGCTGGCGGCGGAGGTGCTGACAGCGACTCCGCAGCAACATTTTCGGCCAAGGAAGCGATGGAGAGGCGCGACCTGGCAGCGGCCGCTGAGGCATGCCGCGAGGCAGCTGCTGGTGGCAAGGGGCGCACTGCACCACGGGAGTCTTAACGAGCGCACCATCTTCGCGAATAATCTTTCGACGCGGGGACCGCGGTTGAAGAGGGAGATCGACGCGCCCCCGGGCGACGTCATCATCTTCCCAGAAACCCACGTCGGAGCGGAGGGCACCAACGACAGATTTGACCACCTCGACCTTCTGGGGTGTGGGCGGCGGTCACACCGTTCCAGAAAACCAAGCGGAGTGAGCTTGCAGGAGGCATTGTCACGGCGGCGACGGAGCATCACTCAGTGACATCGGCGCGGCACCTGGCGGCCAAGAAGGAGTAGGCGGTCGGGTCGAGGCGGCTCGACGCAGAGTGGGCACCAGACCCCATCGACTTCCAGGACATGGTGGCGATGGCGTGGCCGTGGAAGGGACAGTCCAGCATGGTCGTCGGCACGCGCGCCGTGTCTTCGATCTGCGCGCTAGGGGGAACCGGTCCAAGATGGCGAGGCTGGCGACGATCATCAGGGGCCAGTGCGGGCCTGGGGCAGCGATCGGCGACTGGAGCGCGGAACCGCGCAAGCTGCGGAGAGCGGGGCGGTTGGGGGTGCTGCGCGCGGCGGCGAGGGCGCCAGAGGGCGTCTTGCATGCGTGCGCGAGGAACTTCGCCAGGATGCTGGACTACGCGGTGCGCTCGGAGACCATCCTGCTCACGAGGCCACGACAAACCTTGGGAAACTGCAGAACCAAAGCCGAACGAATTGGGACTTCAGAGGCTGACCACCGAAAACCTCACCCCGGGAAACGGGAGGACCAGCAGAAGGCCCCCCCCTCCCCCAAAAAGTCACCAAGAGGCTTCTGGTGACTTCTTTGGCGGCCCCGTCGGGGTGAGAGGTGGAGACCCGACACATTGCACAAGACATTATGATAGTTTTCGGGGTGCATACCGGCCAGAGAAGGAAGAGGAAGAGGAAGGGTATGGGGAGGAGAGGAGGAGAGGAGGAGGAGGACCAGAGCAAGCCCAATACGTATCAGCGATGCTGCAATACACACTCCCGACCCAAGTCCCTCTTCACACGTCCCTACTAGCTTGCTTGTTCACTGCAAGTCCGCTTGAAAGACAAGTGCCACATGGGCTTGCCAGTTCGGCAGAGGCCCCGTTTTGGAAAGGAATCGTATTGCATTATTCTAGCGGGCATTCAGGATAACAGAAAACTCCGATCAGACACTTCAGCGAGATGTCGTATTCCTTATTTTCGAACAAGGACCGCCCCCTCCTATCCAAGACATGGTTGCACAAGGTGACATTTGAAGTCATGAACTTCAACCCTGCGGTGCAGTCCATTGTGAAAAGACGCTGCCCTCGATCCGTGCAGTTCTACATGTGTTGAAGTCGCGGGTCATTACAATCAAGGAAATCCCAAGCAAGAGCGCCATGTTGAAAAAGAGTTGGCCTCCACCCTTCTAATTGTTGCAAGCGTTTAGTAAAAGTGCATGCGGCTCCATGGCGGGTGCCCCATGTTGAACTCGTCTTCCCCCCACCCCTCCATCCTTGAAGCCTTTTGCAAGCACGTCGGACGGATGTGCGCGGCTCGGAAGCGATAGCCACATTTTGAAAAAGGAATCGCCCTCAATACATGACGTTGTTGCATCATGTTAAGACGAATGCGCGCGGCGTTAAGGCTAAAACCTCATTTTGAAAACGAACCCCTCTCCATCCTTGAACTTGCGAGGAAACTAGTCAGACACATTTGCGCGGAGTCACAGCAAGAGCCCCATCTTGGAAACTACATGTGTTGGTAATGGTTGGTTGCACTTTTGAGATGCACATGTGCGCGGCGTTGGGGCGAGAGCCCCAGTTTAAACAGGAAACGCCCTCAATCCTTAAAAGTGCTGCAAACTTTAAATAGTGGATTCGCGCGCTGCGAAGGCGAGACCTACAATGTGAAAACACCCCCCTCCACCCTTGAAGCTGCTGCAACTGTTTCAGACGGCGGAAACCCAATTCTGAAAACGCCCCCCATTCACAACCCCTTCCATCCCGTAAGCTGCTGCAGGCGGTGCGAGAGCCACATTTGAAAACGAGCCTCCCTCAATCATTGAAGTTGCTGCGAACTTGAAAGACCAATGTGCATGGTGCTACAGCGACAGCCCCGTTTTGAAAATGGCCCTCCTCCATCCTTGAAGCTGTTGAACTCATTTACAAGAGAACATGCGTGGCGCTAAAGCGCGAGCCCCAGAATGAAGAGGAACCGCCCTCGATCCTTGAAGTTGTTGCAAACGTGTAAGACAAATGTGCGGGGCGCAAGGGCGAGAGCTACACATTGAAAACTACCCCCTCCATCCCTGAAGTGGTTGCGAACATTTGGAAGCGAATGTGCGCGACCCAATGTGAGAGGCCCATGTTGACAACTGCCCCCCTCCATTATTGAAACTGCTGCAAGTCTCTGCGAACTAATGCGCGCGCGGCTCTGAAGCCAGAACGCAATTCTGAAAAACATTCGCCTTGCATCCTTGAAGTGGTTTCAACTTTCAAGCCTCAGGATCATAAGAGGAGACTCTGGCGACACGCCTGGCCCGCCCACGTCTGGTTGCGACAGGGAGGAACTGCACATCAGGGAAAGGGGTGGAAGCTCGGGAGTTGGGAGGGAGGAGGAAGAGGATGAGGATGAGGACACGAGGCTTTGAAACCTCTGCAGTTCAGGCTCGACATCCGCTCCGGACACATCTTTCCTCCATTCTGAGCGGTTGTTGGAAGCAGTATGGCATTTCGGGAGGAGGAGGAGGAGCAGGAGGAAGAGGAGGAGGAGGAGAAGGAAATTTCCGCGATTAAGGCTCGACATCCGCTCTGGAGACCTCTTTCCTCTATCATGAGTGGTTGTTGGAAGCATCCTGGCCCATCGGGAGGAGGAAGAGGAAGATGAGGCGGAGGAGGAGGAGGAGGAGGAGGGGTCAGAAGGAGGAGTGAGGAGGGGGAGTGAGGTGTCGGAGGAGGGGGAGCAGGACGAGGAGGTAGAGGAGTAAGGAGGAGGAGGAGGACGACGACGACGACGACGAGACGGAGGAGACGGAGGAGGGGTGGGAGGAGGAGAATGATATTGATGGAATCGAATTGCATGTGTAGGGATGGGGTGACAGGTCAGATGGCCTTCACTTCTGCTCAATCGCGCGTGTCTGCACAATGTGTTTTCCATCCTGCAGTTTTCATTCGCAAGTGATCAGGTGTATGATTCGGTCCCTGCCTTTCTGCAATGATGAAGATTCGGATGGGTAGGAATTCCCGGCCGACCTTTTCCAGATGTCCATCCGCAAGGCGGCCCGGCTTGCAATTGTACCAGCATTGAAAATGGTGGTGTACCCGTAGTGGGAGGTTCGTGTCGCATCGTATTTTGTCTCACCTTTTCGTCCCTCCTCGCTCCCATTTCCCTCGCCCCTCCCGCTCCCGTTCCTTTCTCCCCCCTCCCCACCGCATCCCGCGTCCCCTTTCCCTGCCCCCCTTGCCCCTGTCCCTCCCTGCCCGTCCTCTTCCACGTCTCCCTCCCCCCTTCTCCTCCTGCGTTTACCTTCCCCCCCTTTTCCTGAGGGTCCCTTCGTTTCATCTCCCATGGGGTGTCTTTCCGACCGCTCAGGAACCGCAAGAGAACGTCCTAGGATTCTGGAGGGGACTTGGTACAAATCCGCAGTGCCCTTCACGAATTCCTTCGTGAAGACTATCAAATGGCCTTCGGCCCATCCCGCCACCATGCCTGGGTTGTGGATATGAAGCCTATTGCATGAACGTTGGAATCTCGTGGGAGGCCTCCTGGAGGCAGTTTGGAGGCTGTCTTGGGGCCTTTTAGGCCTCCTGGGGGCCTCTTGGGGCTTCCTGGGCGTCTCTTGGGGCCTCCTTGGGGCCTCTTAGGGCGGAAGGCTCGGATTTTCGGTTCTGGTTCCTCCTCTTGGGGCCATCTTGGGGCCCTCTTGGGCTGTCTTGGGCGCCTATTGGGCCCGTCTTGGGGCGCTCTTGGGCCGTCTTGGGGGCTTCTTGCGCCGTTTTGGGGTGGTTTGGGGGGCCTCCTGGGCCGTATTGGAGCGTCGGGACGCCGAAAAGGCGACAACGCCCAAATCCTTCCTTCAAAACCGCAGGACTGTGTATGTTTGTTGCCTCTAGGGATCCTCTTAGGAGGCCTTTTGGAGGCCTCCTGGGCCATCTTGGGGCCATCTTGGGGCCATCGTGTCTTGGAACGAGATTTCGGCGACTCGGGGCCCTGATGGTCTTGGGGGCCTCGTTGGGGTCTCTCTGGCCCGTCATCAGGCCCTCCTGGACCCGAACGAGTCATGCGGGAAGCCGCGGGGAAGTCCAGAGGGCACGCGGAAAGCCCCGACTGATTTGAGAATTTGGGGTCCAGGCCTTTTTAGAAATTCTTCTGGACTGAGAAGGGAGGACATACGTTAACGAGGTTTAACTAGAGGCTGTATAGCGAACGCTATATCCGACGCTGTTTTGGCTCAAGGCAGCGCTGTCTTGTTTGCCCTTTACACAACTGTGCGACTCTATCTGCGGATCGTAGCAGTGGACCCACGTCCTTCTATGATCACGTCCCGATCCCACGATTTCTCTCTTACCTCTCGCCTTGCTTGCCATCAAGCGATGAGTTTTGGTATACCTCGATATGTCGCCGACGTTATCCTAAGAGTCGGGTTCTCAGCTGACTACCTTATGGTCAAGCCCTGCACCCTTACTTTTCACTTGGTAGCGGAGCTGGCTACGTCTTCATGTGGCTGGCTCTTACAGCAGGTGTGATTTACATAACCATTTTCCGCGGCACAGTGAAGTACCCGACTGCGCCGGCTCTCCGCCACTACGCTCCCAATGCTCTCGAACCATATCCCCACCGCGTGGCCGCACGACCCAAGCACCGATATCTATCCGCAAGCTGACGGTCACGTCAAACCAGACACCCAGTCGCAACCCTACGCATGCGACACTATCCAGCAATACAACCTAACATCATCACCTACAACATGACCGTGCACTATGTTAAGGTCGCGATCTTTGGAACTATCTGAGTCTGCCTAAGTCTTGCCGTGGCATGTATGCGAGGAGGACTGGATGAAACACGCACTCGTGGTCCCTTTCTGGGACCCCGCAGGTATCGTACCCTTTCCGCGACTTTGTTCGCGAAGTACACGCATGGCTTAACGTCGCGAGCGGAAGTGTGATTCCACCCCAACGGGCAGCGTCCTTACAGCGCGGCCTAGGGGATTGGCTAGGACACTAGCCATGAGGGTGCCACCCACCATCATCAATTCCGGTATCACATTGCATGGGAGACGCGCAGATGGAGTCAAAAACATCATGTACCTATGAATCACCACGGAAACCTGGAGGACGAGAGACAGCTGACCTCAGGGACTGCCCTCGTCGACTTCAGATTCGACAGAGGTGAGCGCATCGATTCAGCGCGGGCCCAGCTCGAGATGGCCAGATTGGAAGCAGACTCAGCGGGCTTCAACATACCCAACTTCCAGATCTTTACCCTGATATGTTTGTTCGCGCCTCGGGGGTTGGTACCTCCCGAGCCGCCCAACTACTGCAACCGCTGAACCACCAGACGCCCCGTGCCCAACAACGGCAAGACCAATTCCTGGAGCGAATGCGCAGCCATTGACACTTGGCTGAGCGTTCCCCAGGGAACATCTGGAGCATCATCAGCGGGCGCAGCGCTGGCACTTGCCGCGCCGAAGTATGCGACGCGCCAGCAGCCATGCCGAACAGCATCTGGAACGACGGAGACCCCACTGAATCCGCGACGCTCTTAGGCCAAGACTCCCACAACAACGACGAACAGGCTCCTGGCTCAAACATGGGCTGGCCGTCAGCGGCCAGCTACACACCACTTGGCGCGACTGCCCCGTGGGGCTCACCCAGCCAACGAGACGGCGACGCATTCGACGCTGGCGCGGACGCCGACGCGGCCCCTCTACCAGCGCCGACGACCTCGATTGGTCAGACCTGCCCGCCGGCGATGGCGCAGCTACGCAATGCTTACACTCAGGCTATCATCGCGCCAACAAAAAGGTGGAGGCGACGCGTGCACAACAAAACTAGTTGCGAGGGGCCCAGGCGAGCTGCGCGTCGCGTCATCTTCTGCAAAAGAAAGGGTCGCGGCGCAGGTGGTAGACGTACTCGCGAAATGCACTGCGAAGGCGTAGCCGCGTTTTTTTGGCTCCTATGACTTTGGAGACCTATCCATAGCAGGTAAGGGTAGCAGCAGAGGTCGCAGGCGTGCAACAGGTGGGGGCACGGGGCGCAGGTCCAATCAAATTGGCAGGGGTGGAACAGAAAAGGACGACGCGCAACGCCTGCGGGAGCGACGAACACTTCCAAGCGCAATGCTCCATGGGAGGCGGGGAAAAGGGGACGGGCCCGTACTTCGCGGCTCAGAGCAATCCGAAGCGGATATTATTGAGTGGTTTGATTTCCACGAAATCGACCATTCCTTTTCTATTCCCAAACCATGTCTGCCTGGTTTTTGATGGCCCACTTTGCCGGCTCCGCCATGTCGGCAGAGGGCTATTCCGAGCGCCTCCACGACGGGATCGAAGAGCTCTGCGACGCGCCCATCGAGGACTGGGTCGGCACGCGCTGGCGCGGACACGCGCGGGAATACTCCGACGACAACGACGACGAAGACGACTGCGCGTCCGACTCGGAGACCACGCCCGCCACCGACGCTGAAATCATGGAACAGCTCGGACACGAGCAGGCGCGCCCCCGACCGCCCCCGGCCCCGACTGGCGTTCGGACTAACGGAGGAGGAGCGGGCTGCAGTGGGATGGGGACATGCCCACGCCAACGCATGTATGATGCGGGGTAAGTCTGCGCAGGCCCTAATCGGCTCGGGCGGCCTCTACAGGGGCGACAAAGGGAGCAGTCGCCGCGGCCGCGGCTCAGCGGCCCACCGCGCAGCAGGCGCCCCCGGTAAATCTGGAAGATATAGCCCGGACCCGGGCGGTCTTGGCCGCGGCCGCGGCCGCTCTCGCGGCGCCCGCCCCCCTTGAGGGCACAGGCTACGCTCGATCAACCAAGCCCATGCGCGGCGCGAGCTCCAGCGACGCGGGCCGGGGAAAGGGGCGCGCCTCCTCCGGCATGGGGAGCGCCACTTTCTCTCGCGACGACCAGGGCCCACGCGCGGAGATCGACGAGTCCGATATGAGCCATTTCCTCGAGAAGGGCTACACTGAGGCACATATTCGCCACTGATGGTCTTTTAAACATTGCGTTGCCCGCAACGAAAGGGGCCACGTCATCAAAACGCCCGAACGTCACGGCAGTGGCAGTGACGAAACGCTGATATACAAGCAAGATCTGATCAAGGCTCGCAGGGGATGCCGCATATGCCCACGCTCGGCCCACAGTCAGCACCGCGGCGACTGCCCGATTGACCGCCCGTCTCGCAGCCCTCATCATGGCGAGACGCCTTGGACCCCCGACCGCGGCGATGGCATAGGCGGAAGGGCGGCCGCGTCCATGGAGGATTATATGACTGGCGCCACCGACATCCCGAGGATTACACCGTTGTCGACAGTGACGACAGCGCCCCCGGCATTCCTCGCCATCGCGAGCTGAACGCGACAGGTCGGATCATTGGTAGGTCCAGGGCCGAGGCCCCCGCGCCCCGTCCAGCATCGACCCGGGCGGCAGCTGAGAAGATAGAAGAGAGGGGGCAGGCAGGGCGAGCGGCCCCGCGCGCCCGCGTCGCCTGCCGAGCCGCCGGGCGGACGCGCCCAGGGCGAAAGCAACCCAGACAAAGAAGCGGGCGGGCGCGCCCGGGAGGCTCTGGAAATAGCCGCCCCTAAGAAGAAGCTGCGTCCAGACTAAGAGTTGGGCCCGGTTGAAACCCCCGAATTCGGGGGGGACATGGGCAAAACCGAGAACGAGGGCAAGCGCGGCCTTGCTGGGCGCAGCGTTAAGATGAGAATTGAACGCTTAAAAGGCGGCTGGACACCCATGCCTGATCAGCCGATTTCAAAGAGGTCCGACAAGTCGCTGGCGGACCCGGCTTATCGTGGCGATTGGGCACCGAAACTACTTGTTGCAGGCCCAGGACGTTCGAGCTCGGCCACGGGCAGGGACTGGTCAAAACCTGACGCCCCTTTTGATGCCGCAGCAACGAGAAAACTGAAGGCGACAGAGGAACTGCCTCCGAAGACCAGAGAAGAACAGAGCCAGGACACTTGCAAATTACCACAACCATTTACCAATCGGCAGACAGCCACAGCCCAATCCGGAAGGTTTCCAAGCGGGGACCTTTTGGCCACCAGCGAAGG